CAACAATTTTAGATTTTTAACATATAATTTACTGTAATTAATTGGGGAAATTGGGTGTTTTCAATATTCTATATTATTGCAACCCTTTTTTTTGTGAATTTTGCGAAGGAATGGGGAAAACGTTACTTACGATTGGTGAATAGGAAAAGAGAGATTCCTTGGAATGAGGAATGGGGAAACCGTCTCTACGATGGGTGTTTGAATAAATAAGGGAAAAGGGAAAAGAGAGGATTCCTGGATGAGGGAAAGTCGAAATTATAAAAAGAAAGAGAGAAATACAAAAAAATCGGAAAAATTAATAGAACCATAAAGAAGAAAATCATTATCCAAAAGTTATTATAAAATTAAGACATCGCCATAAAAGCAATAAGAAAAATAATGATAATTGATAATAATAATAATAATTAATGATTAATAATGGAATGATGTAGATGAATAATAATTAATAATAATAATAATAATAATAATAATGATAATAATATAATTAAAATAATAAAAACGGCAATATAAAAAACAAGACAGGAAAAAAAACAAGGAAGAAATTGACAAAGATAAGGGAAAGGTGTATAGTTGTAGGAGGATAGAGGAATGTTATGAATATGAACAGGAAGAGACAGGATAAGAAAGAGATTATGATAACGTACGGTGGGAGAGAGTGCGAAATATAAACAGGAAAAAAAGTGAGATGTTATTTAGAAATCAGGCTGATTAAACGCAAGAATAGTAGAAGACGAAAAGGAGCAGACATCCATAGATTAGAAGTGGAAAGGAAGGTCATAGAAATAGGTGTGGAAAAAGCAAACCTAATAGGATATTAAGAAAGTAATTAAAATGTGGGAGGGGATTAAAAAATCCATGTTGAGAGAGGAGAGGTAGAGATGAGAAACAGAGAGAGAGAGGATGAGAGAGAGAGAGAGAGAAGAGAAGAGGAGAGAGGGAGAGAGCGAGAGAGAGAGAGAGAGGAAGAGGAGGATAGAGACGAGGAGAGAAGACGAAGAGAGAACGAGAGATGACTGATGGAGACGAAGAGGGACTGAGACGACGGGAGAAGAAGAGAGGGGAGAAGAGAGAGAGAGAAGAGAGAAGGAAAGAGAGAGGAGAATACGAGAGAAGATGGAGAGAGAATGAGAAAGATGGACAAGATAGAGAGGATTCGTGCAAGAGAGAGATAGAGAGGAGAGAGGAGACCAGGGAGAGAGGAGAGACAGACAGAGAGAGAGGAGACGAGGAGAGAGAGGGACGAGAGAGAGAGGAGTGAGAGAGAGACTGAATCGGGGCGAGCGGGGACGGAGGAGGAGAGAGACTGAGCTGAGGAGTGAGAGAGAGAAGGAGTGGGAGGAGTCGAGAGATCGGCGCCGGAGAAGAGAGAGGAGCGAGACGAGAGAGGAGAGAGGAGAATACGAGAGACAGAAAGGAGAAGGGAGAAATGAAGAAAGCATGGACAGATAAGAGAAGATGTGAAGAGAGAGAGAGAGAGATGAGAGAGAGAGTAGAGAGAGAGAGAGAGAGGAGAAGGAGAACGAGAGACGAAGAAGAGGGGGAGCGGGGGGAGGAGTGGAGAGAGGAGGAGGAGAGGGAGAGAGAGAGAGATGAGAGAAAGATGAGAGAGAAAGAAAAAAAAGAAAGAGAGAGAGAGAGAGATAGACAGATAGATAGAAAAAGATGAGGGGAGAGAGACGAGAGAAAGACAGACAGATAGACAGAGAAAAAGATAGACAGAAGAGAGAGATAGAGAGCGAGAGCCCAATCCAGAGAGGCCAGGGAGCCAACCGAATCCAGGAAGCCCCAACAAGGGATTGGAGATTAGACTCGTGACAACATCTGAAGGGGGGGAGGGGGGGCAATGCTTCTAGGG